TAATAGGATTTGACCCGCTCGCGACGAACGGTCTCCGCTCCTCTGTAGAACCTGACCCTAACTCACAGGGCCGAGAATTTTTAGTTATCGGGGAGAGTGGCGTTTTAACACTACCACATACAACAAATCAAAATAATTTATTTCTCTTTCAGCTACACAAATCGTTATCACAAACAACAAATCAAAATAACTTTCTCTTACAGTTACAAAAATCGTTTTTAAAAAAAAATGGACTTGCTCCGTCCAACTCTAGTCCAAGTTCGAAGGGTTTACACAAGGTAAGTTTTATTCTTCAAGTTAAACGGATAACTCTTCACAACACTTGTGCCTGTTTTATCTTGGGTCCGGTTCAGGTTTGGGAAGCTCGAACTATCACAAACAACATGATAAAACGAGGTTTATTTTACAAATTCAAATAGATAAAACTTCGCAATACCTATATATATTATGCCCCGACCCCAATCTAGGTCTGTGAAGTTTATAACATCACAAACGACATAACAAAACAAATTTATTATGAAACTTAAGAAATCATCCCGACATAATACATAAACTTGTTCTTTTCAACATAACAGAATATCATAAAAAATAAAATTTGATAAACAACTTTTTCACTAATGTTCAAACTTCTACAATCAATGCACAACCTATTTAGTCAATCACGCTTGCATTAACAATGATGGTCACAATCAACAGTCGCTTAAGGCTACATTGACCGAAGCACCACCACCATGGCAACTAACCCCAAACAATTCGCTCGAACTTCAAGTGTAATACCGACTATGTGCCTTTGTTGACTAAGGGAGGACTTCAATTTCTCAATACGAGGCTACCAATAACTCACGTGAACTCGTTTGTTGTCCAAACATTATGGCATGCAGGTGAAGGCAAACTTTTTTTGCTCACTTTCAACCGAGCTCAACTACAGCACTAATGCTATCAGCAAGGAGTAACCACAACATGTAACTAACACCACCAACTGCAGCGTGTTGGCCACAACGAAAATCACTTTTAGACTTACAAATTAATACTCAACAACCTGGAACAATGACTATTTATTACTCAAAGAGATGCAACGAACATAATGTAGAGTTCCTAATGACTATCACAAGTAGTAGCAATAACTCTTATGTAGTATGATTGCATCACCAACCGAACCTTTTTTTTTTTACCAACCCCTTATCTAACTGAACTTCACCCTCTGATCCGACCGAGCACAAGTATATGTCAAAACTTCTACAATCAATGCACAACCTACTTAGTCAATCACGCCTGCATTAACAATGATGGTCACAATCAACAGCCGCTTAAGGTTACATTGACCGAAGCACCACCACCATGATCACTAACACCCAACAATTCGCCCGAACTTCAAGTGTAATATCGACTATGCGCCCTTGTTGACTAAGGGAGGGCTTCAATTTCTCAATACAAGGCTGCCAATAGCTCACCTGAACTCGTTTGCTGTCCAAACGTTATGGCATACGGGTGAAGGCAAACTTTTTTTGCTCACTTTCAACCGAGCTCAACTACAGCCCTAGCGCCACCAGCAAGGAGTAGCCACAACATGTAACTGACATCACCAACTGCAGCGTGTTGACCATAACGAAAATCACTTTTAGACTTACAAATCAATACTGAACAACCTGGAGCAATGACTATTTATCTCTCAATGAGGTGCAACTAACATAATGTTAAGTTCCTAATGACTATCACAAGTAGTCGCAACAACTCTTATATAGTATGATTGCATCACCAACCGAACCTTTTTTTTACCAACCCCTTACCTAACTGAACTTCACCCTCTGACCTGACCGAGAACAAGTATTAGTCGTTACAATAGTCCCCAATATTTGGGCGCTATTGGTACTTGTTCGAAGTTACCAACCGCCTCCCAATATGATTTCTCATTCCTTCACTACTACTAATTAGCATAATGTTTTTGCCTGCACTTCAAGAAGCACGTAACGAACCAATCAACGAGCGTGATTATCCATGAGATTGTGGATCAATCACCACCATGGGTATGAATGAGCCTTGACCCCAACTGCCAAGTAATCAGGCTTCCGTCCTAGAAATATAGCTAGCACCAATGTAGAATAAGTTATGGCGGCACCGCATAGACAAGTCGAGCAACATCGAATAATTCATTACCAATGCGATGGACAGTTGATACCCCTGTTTCCTTCTATCGCGCTATCTCGCCTACCTTCGTTGCTACGTCCTCCATGCACGTAGTAAGACCCTGTGTCCAAGTTCCCTTGACTATATCCTCCTGCTAGTTTTCCACCTCTACTCTCTTTCTTTCTCAGTTATCTCTCAACATACAAAGAACTGGCTTGACAGCGAGCTTTGTTGAAAAAGAGAAACGATTGTAGTGACGAACACCAAAGGTGTCTTCCAGCGCGAAGAGTCAAAAATGACCCCAAAGAAATAATGTATGCATATGATTAGCATCTCAGCCATACTATGTGCAACCTACATTAGTACTTGAATGACTATAGCATACATAAAACCACGTCCCATTGTACCCTCAATCTCAACAAGCAGACATATGTAAGCTTTACCTTCATCTTTGACTGCTCAAACCCCTTGTTTTTGTCTGTCTTGCTTGATTCCCCTTTTTTCTTTGCTTCATAGTTGAGTTGTCACAAGTCCACTCGATGTACCTGGTCAAACCCTTGGTTGAATTCACCAAGGCTTATCAAATATATGGTCGTTATAATCGACCAAGTTCAGAACGAGCGTACAGACAGCGGCAGGATGACCGTAATGAGTGAGGCGAGGACCTTAACAACCACCACAATCATGATCGAGTACAGGCGTTTCTGACCGTAACACGCATGACTACAAACGCAACCTTGAAGGAGACGACTGCTATCACGGAGATGAGACAACTAGCGAACGGGATCTCATCGACATGATGATAATGGACGTTAAAGTCCACCACAAACTTCGACAAGGAACTACGGTATGGATGTTAAAATCCACCATGAACTTCAACAAGGAACTCCGACGCGACCTCGATCGTGGAGAGAAAGTAACTGCGGCAACAACCTTCACGCCACTATCCACCAAATGTGAAAAATGATGAATCTTCGAATTGAATGTGGGAAGGTGCACGTTCTTTTTCGCCAGCGTGCTGAGGCCGCTTGACCTGTGCGCCGAGACTGCTCAACTTTGAGCAGCGGGGGAGGATGAATCTTCCATTAGAGCACGGACATATACACCGCCAAAATGAGGATGAATCCGGTCGAACATGTAGAGATGCATCAACAAAAACAAAGGTAATCTCCCGCTAGAACATGAAAAGATACGTCGCTTGTATTTGTATGATTATTGTTATTTATTATTACATTTCCGTATACGTAGTAGTTATGCATGTCTAGGTTCAACCGCCCCTTCTTCACCCCTCCTCTTCCATCTTGCCTTCCACTCCTTCTCCTCTATCTCACTAGTCGCTCCTCCACTAGCGAAACCAACCCTACCAGTCATGTCGCCCTGAAGCACAAACTTCCAGGACACCGCGAGACTTGCCCAATTCGTGTCAGATGGGCGCTGAAAAAGTCCTTCCCATTGAGCCAAAACACACTTCTGTGGGCCTTCTTTATCATGTATCGAAGAAAACGCTACCCTAATAAAAAAAATTGGCTGGTGCGGCCATTTGATCCAGAACAGTCCCAACCCCCAACGAGTGAGCTACATTTTTCCCCCTCTCCTTCTCCATTCCTCTTTTTGACACCTCCGCACACCCCTACAACCTTTATCCGCATCTTTTCGCCAACCGATTCAACTATCAGTAGAATATCTGGACAGAACGACCTTACATACCCTTTCTATTATCAATGGGCCTCGCTCCACTGCTTTAGACTCCCGAATATGCTGTACTGATCCAGATAAAATAGGAAAAATGAAGTCCGTTGATGATGTCAAATTGCAAAAGGCGAGTCGGGGAGATGAGCCGCAAACCCGCACACTGCGGGAAAAACGAGGGAAGGTGGGACCGCTTCGCCAAAATCAGCGAGGAAAATGACTAGGCATGAAAGTGATCTGGCTGGCTGTGTGCGCACAAGTGGTCGCGCACCGGAGGGCGCGACACGAGAGACTTCGCAAGATGAGCTGGTCGGTTAGACTCCGGTGACTTATACTGTGACCGGCCAAGCCAGTGGGACCGTGAGGAGTGGCAATGCCGTCCTGCAACCTGGGTGAGTGGGTTGTCGCACCATTCCACCGTCGATGATGTGTTACTTGTCCGCACCCCTGGATTGTCGAGATGAAGAAGAAAATCGAAAAGGAAACTCAGTCTCGGTCGTAGATGGGAAAGATCTACGGTCTATGAGAGCATGGGAATAATGGCAAGTATTTCCAAATGAGGACCCGGTAGCTGCATATGATCCAACCGTAGTAATTCTGTTGGAGTCACCAGGGCCGTTGGGACAGGATGAGACCACATTGCTTGAAACAGACACAATGTGTTTCGAGAGTGATGCCTCGCCCCATTTACTTTAAACTACAACTCGTGACACCACCCTTCGAGAGCTGTCAGAAAGCGCCCTCGAAGGGCACTCTCGATTTTTATAGAGTTCACAGCCTGCAACGCTCAGGTTTTCTAGCGTCCTCCCTCCTACTCCCGCTCCGGCCTCTTTTTTCGTGAGTGTGCCTCCTGCCCCGACCATCAGAACGAGCTGGCGGTGTCATCTAGCGCTGTAGAAGGGCTGTCATGTAGCGCTGAGAAATTCCTGAGTGCTTCTATAGTTCTTGAGTCTGGAGTAAGTGGAGCCATGCTTGTTTTTTCAAGAGTTCTAGACCTCTGACAGCTCTAGAAGCACTCGCGATTTTTTTCGTAAGTCTAGGGTAGTGGAGCGAGACCCAATATAGCAGCCACATCCCTGTTCAAGCCTCCAACGAGGGAAGGTGGAGGGGCTGTACCCGACCTGCAGGTGGGCCATACCTGGCGATACCGTCCAGTGGTCAGCCGGTAGCGTCAGGGACCATGCCAACCTGATCTATCCCTACACATCCCCTCCGTTCCCCTCCCCCTTCGAACCTCAGCAATCTCTCCTTGATGCCGATTTGGGGGGCCAACGGTCTACCTCTTGATGGCAGACACCTAGCATGCGCAGGAGGGTACATGAGGCCAACGGTTTGAAGCCATGGCCCCCTGAATGCCACTTGTGTGCCTTGCCAACTGAGCTAGATGGTCATCGACATGGGTGGGCGAGGAGAACGCGGGGACCTGGATTCTTCATTTTGGCCGTAGACGACGAAGATCCACGTCAGTGGGATATCGAACGTAATTACGAGTATATATAATTTTATAGGAACATTTATCTTTGTGCGCTATCCATGCGCATGAAGTGTCAACATTACATCACACCTGAACCTGACGGTGCAATGCAATGGCTGTTTCCACCTGACACGTCGAGTGTTTTAGACATTTTTAGGAGGCCTGGATTCACAGACGCAATGGCGCGGTGGCAATGCATTTACGGCGGGAAAACGAATTTGAGCTGAAGGCGGAGGAAGAGAACTTGGGGATGGAGAATGGTATCCGTCGGGATTGCGAGGTTGATGGGACATAAATAATAGACGACGAAGACACGTGGAAACATGGCATATGCAGGGCTGCTGCCGCGCGTGGAGGTTTGAAGCGGGTGTTGAAGCAAGGCGGGAGGCCAGGGAGTGAGGGGGAGTACGGTGGAGGTGCTTCCCGGGTCCAAGAGGCATACCGAACTCGTCGATGATGACCGGGACCAGAGGCCAATTTGAGCTCATAGGACGCGTTGTCTAGTCGGACGAGGGAGGGGTCAAGTGGGGCCTCAAAGGAGGAACTCGCATGATTGCTTGATATGAATGGACGATGCAGGTTGTTGAGGATTGCTCACGAGGGAGGGGCAGAAGGTGGAGAGGCGTGGGGGGGCGACTACCGGTAGTTGTGGTTGGGCGGGAGAGAGAAGGTTAGGATCCGATAGCGAATTGCACGAAAGAGGAGGGGAAGTATCTTTGAAGCGTCGTCTGGAATACCGTCGGATGGAGGACGCTTGGTGATTGATTTGGCGACCTATTCGTTGATGACGAAGAAGGTCAGACGGAGGGAGTGAGCGAGGACGAAAGGAAGGGGAGAAGAGGAGGGAGGCAAGGAAGAAGAGGAGGACCGCACAGCAGAAGGGGTAAACGATGTCGGGACATACGAAGACGTCGGTGAGGTCCATCGAACGTTCAGCAGAACCACATGGTCGGGGAGAGAGGGGAGAGGTCAGGTCTGGAAAGGGGGGGCTCGTCGAGGGAGGAGTGGTTTTAGAGGATCTCAGAGTGTTCGAATCAGACTCGTTCGACGGTGAGAAGTATGTCCAGAGTACGTGTCAGTCGATGAGCGAGAAGGTGAGTTGTGGAGGCACCTGGCAGACCTATTTGTCGTCCGATCTGTGGCGATCGGGGGATGTGTGTGTGTCGATGCGCGGGTGTGAATGTCTGTGCGTGAGTGCGTGAGTGCTGTGTGGTGTACATTGGCGCGTCTGCGAGTGTGTGCGCATGTGCATGTGTGCGGGATCAAGCAAGCGAGGATGCCGATTAGTGAAAAGAGCGCCCCGCGTGTGTTTGTGTGTGTGTGTGTGTGTGTGAGAGAGAGAGAGAGAGAGAGAGAGAGAGAGAGAGAGAGAGAGAGAGAGAGAGAGAGAGAGAGAGAG